GATCCGCCTGCCTCTGCCTCTCGAGTGCTGGGATTAAAGGCGTGCGCCACCACCGCCCGGCTTTTTTGTTGTTTTTTCCACTGTGTCAGATGCTACCTCTTCCATCCTCAAAATTTCACTGCAGTTTACTTCTCTTCGAACACTTACTTTCTGTCTCACAATAGAATTACGAAAATCCCCCCCCTTTTGTGGCTCCAATAGATTGTGCTCTTTGATAGGATCAGTTTTAAACTCTTTATGCTGATACCCTTTACCTGCTTGTACTGATTTTTCAACAATTAACTAACAAATGCACCTATGATTAAAACAACTATTACACACACACACCAACCTGAACACCCTCCCATAACCTACACTTCAGGGCTTTCCCACTTGACCCACTTAGCTACACCGCTAGCCACAATTCAATTGTGTGATTTTTTTTCTTCTAATATGAATTAATCACATAACAAGGCACAGTTCCCATACCACAAAGGGCTTTCTGATCAGTCAGACATATCCCAATGTTATATAGGAGAAGCAAACTTGGATCAGAAAAGGGTTTCTGGTCCCTTCTGAAAAGTCAGTCTACATTCCGAGAACACAGTCAGCGACTTCGAGGCCAGGCTGGGCTACTTGGTGAGACCATGTCTCAAAAGACTAAACCACCCTGACCCAACATAGTGGTGCACGGTTTTTAATCCCAGAATTTGAGAGGCAGGGGCAGGGCCAAGAAAATCTCTGCGTTTCAGGCCAGCTTGATCTACACAGTGAATTTCAGAGAAGCCAAAGCTACATAGAGCGACCCTGTCGCAACCTCCATTCCACTCCAAGACCAAACCACAAAGCCTATCTACTAACTACTCCTCGGTTAAAATAGTTACAGAAGACTAAACTGGTCGAGTCCGAGGCACGTGGTTCTGCAGAGTGTCGGCGACAGTGAACGCGGGGTTTGGAGTAACAGACTAAACAACTCATTGACTAATAGCCCTCTGGGATTCGTTACTAGATGCCATGCCAAACCATACCCTCTTTATGGTACCTCGGAGACGGGGCAAAGGACGACCCACACCCTAGGGATCTGGACCTCCCACCCCGCGGCGTGGCTCTCAGCTACAAACCCACCTACCCATGCCCTAGGAGGGCTCGTGACCACCTCCAAAGACACCCTTCCCCTGTGTGCGACCACGGCGAGCGTGGAGGGGGCTAAAGGCCCGTCCAAGCGACAGACCCCACTTCTTGCACGAACTCGACAGCGACCCAGTAACCCTCAGCGCTCGCGATCCGATCCTCACCTGTTCCGCCGACACCGCTCCCTTCCCCGTGCTGTTCCCGCTGCTCTTACTCACACGGCCGCCGCTGTCCGCCATCTTCGCCACCTGCAAGCTTTCCGGCCTGCGCACTCCCAGTGCGTCACATCCGGTCTGGTAGTTACCACCCACTTGCCCCAGCGCTTCTGGTTCCTGGAAGCTCCTCAGATCGACCCTGCGAATGGTTTTGGCTGTGTCTTCATGTAGGACCTACTCCCCAACCCTGCCCGCTGCGGTGAATTCCACCTGCGATGCTTTAACTTGTGCAACAGAGATTCTTGTCCCAGGGAGAGGCGGGAAGGACGCGCTAATCAAAGGGCGGGGTCTAGGGTTGGGATCTGGTCCTGTGCCCCCTACCCACCACGAGATGGTGGGGATCTAGGGAGAGTGAACGTTCTTCCCCAGATACTGGTGTAAGGGGAAAGATATGTGTTGAGTCTATAAAGCTGTGCAGGTGGTACAGCCGAGAAGAGAGAGTTGGGGAAACGAGGAAGGTTCCATGAGATGACTTGAGCTGCGGAAACCTTTGGCAGAGGAAAAGGGCTTCAGTTTTAAATGTGAGATTACTGGAAGTTGAGGTATTGAGGCACGGATTATAGTCTCCTCCCTCATTTTCCCATTTTATGATCGCCTTCCATGGCTACTAATAGTTTTTAAAGAAAGTGTTTTTGAAGCCTTGGGGGAGGGGAGTACTGACCAGGCCTGAAAATGGCAGAGAATTGTAGAAACTTACTGCTTGAAGGAGGGTTAGGTGTCCTGATTTCTCACCTTCTTCAGGCTGGGCTTCATCACCAGGCCTCCTCGCCAACTCCTGTCCCTTCTGTGTATCGGATACCGATTACCCCGAAGCTCAGTACTTTGTACTCAGCACAGGTAACATGTTTTTTTTATGTTCTCTGCCTGGCATGTTGCTGCTCAATCCATGTTAATAACTGCATAGTGGGAGACAAAAGCGTCTGCCACCCACCAAGCATTTAATAAGTGAACTCCAGTAGCTCTGGGTTTCTGCTTCGTAAGAATGGTGGGACACACCACCATGTAATCTCAGCATTTGGGAAACAGGCAGGAGGAGGATCAATCAGGAGTTTAAGGTCATCCACAGCTACATAACAAGGCCTGCTTGGGCTACAAAACACCCTGTCTCAAAAGAGAAAAACATTTATGTCTCTGGCCCAGTCCCATTGGAGCCTCTGGGACTCTCCATGCTAGCAAATCTGACAACACTGCCTGTGCCCTTCACAGGCCCAGAGCCATGGCGGTGTCCTCATCAACTTCCTGGGAGCTGCCCCTGGTGGCTGTGTGCCAGGTAACATCAACCCCAAACAAGAAAGAGAACTTTAAAACATGTGCTGAGCTGGTTCTCGAGGCGGCCAGACTGGGTGCTTGCCTGGCTTTTCTGCCTGAGGCATTTGACTTCATTGCACGAAATCCTGCCGAGACATTACAACTGTCTGAGCCACTGGATGGGGACCTTATGGAACGATATAGCCAGCTTGCCAGGTACAAGGGTGGGAGGGAAATAGAATCATTACTGGGCTGTGTTCCTGGATTGCCACATAGAGGGGGTAGAGCCTTGAGTAGGGTTGTCAGTGTCCCCTCCCCCCAGGGAATGTGGAATCTGGCTGTCCTTGGGTGGATTCCACGAGCGTGGCCAAGACTGGGAGCAGACTCAGAAAATCTACAATTGTCATGTGCTTCTGAACAACAAGGGTGAGACTCAACATTTTAGCTTGCCTCTTTCCAGGCTTTTCTACCACCAGCCCAGATCCTTCAGCATTATTTTCTCAACTATTTGGCTTTAGTACGCTTTGTACTTCTGTTCTTAGCTTTATTACTCTTTGGGAGAAGAGCATAGCTGGGCTTCTCGCTTGCCTGTACTATTTTCTCTATCTCTTCCTCTAGGGCTAGTAGTGGCCCAGTACAGGAAGACACATCTGTGCGATGTGGAGATCCCAGGTCAGGGGCCTATGCGGGAAAGTAACTCTACCATGCCTGGACGCACTCTCGAGCCACCCATCAGCACACCAGCAGGCAAGGTGGGAGTTTGAAAAGGAAACAGGAATACATTGAAAAAGTGGTAACATTCCCCTTTGGAGTACGATAATGAAGGTACTGGATGTTATGATGAACGGGACAGGGAAGTTGAGTGGGTTGTTTTTAATTTCAGGTGGGTTTAGCAATCTGTTATGACATGCGGTTCCCTGAACTTTCTCTGAAATTGGCTCAAGCTGGGGCAGAAATACTTACTTATCCTTCAGCCTTTGGATCGGTTACTGGACCTGCCCACTGGGAGGTAAGAGAATGCCTATTCAAACCATAAGGACTCCTTTTAATCTTATTCTTAGTAGCGTGGTACGGAGCTAAACTCCAGGCAGTCTAAGGATTTGCCACAGGTTCAAGGCCAGTATGTTCTACATAGAGATACCTTGACTTAATAAAACAAAATAGAAACCAGGTAGTGATGGCACACATCTGGAGGCAGAGGCAGGTGGATCTCTGAGTTCGAGACCAGTATGGTTTACAGAGCAAGTTCCAGGACAGCTAAGGTTACACAGAGATGCCCTGTCTTGAAAAACAAAACAGAAAACAGTGGGGCATGTGGTGCCCGCCTTTTATTCCAATACTTGTGAGGCAGAGGCAGGCAGATGTCTGTGGCTTCCAGGCCAGCCAGGGTTACACAGTGAGACCTTACCTCAAAAAATAGAAAATACATAGTATATGCCAGGCGGTGGTAGCACAAACCTTTAAACCAGTACTCTGGAGACAGAAGCAGGCGGATTTCTATGAGTTCAAGGCTAGCCTGGACTATAAGAGCTAGTTTCCAGGACAGCCAGTGCTGGACAGAGAAACCCTGCCCTGAAAACAAACCAAAATAAATAAGTAAAAAAAAAAAAAAAGAAAATACAAAAGAGCCAAAACAAAACAAAAAAAGCAGCCAAATCTTACTCTCCTTCTCTACTTGAAAGGATTATCTTCCTTCCCTATCTAGGGGGAAATTCATTTCTTAGCTGTTGAGTCGTATTAGAGAGTTAATACAGTCACTAATTCTGGTTGATTAGCAGAATGGTCAATGAGTAGTTTGGCCTGGAGTGTCCACTTCTTGTCACTTGCCTATTAATCACTTCTCCTTCTCAGGTGCTGCTGCGGGCCCGAGCCATTGAATCTCAGTGCTATGTAATAGCGGCAGCACAGTGTGGACGCCACCATGAGACAAGAGCAAGTTATGGCCACAGCATGGTGGTGGACCCCTGGGGTACGGTGGTGGCCCGCTGCTCTGAGGGACCAGGCCTCTGCCTTGCCCGAATTGATCTCAACTTTCTGCGACAGATGCGCCAACACCTGCCTGTGTTCCAGCATCGCAGACCGGACCTGTATGGCAGTCTGGGTCAACCGCTGTCTTAAGCCTGTGACTTCTGCTGGGGTTGAGACACACAGAGACATACTCAGCTGTGAAGTGAGGCCACTGTGACTTGCAGGCAGGACCCAAGCACAGTTCTCTCACTTGCAGAACCTTAAACTCTTAATGGAACACAGGTTCAGGTTCATGGGAAAGAAAAAACTTTGACCTGATCTCAGATTTCAGTTTCAGAAAAGTAAAATTTTATATAGTCAGTGTTTATTTCATGAAAACTGAAGTTACGCTGAAGGCTGAGCAGCACTGGCATTGAAAAAAATATAATAATCATAATGTCTGTCTGGGCTTCTCCTTTGAGGGCTGGAAGGGGAGTTGCTGTGGTACCTGCTCGAATACGCTCCACTTGTAGGCCTCCTGGCTCAAACATGCCTCCCTACCTAAGAAAGTGCAACAAGGCTCAGTGCATGTCCTAGCCCCATTCTCCAGGAGGAAAGGTAGAGGGCAGGAGCCGAAGTTGATACTGAATACTCACTTTCTCTCAAGCCAGAAGGAAGCAAGGGCAAAGGGGCTCAGGATGAGGGAAGAGTTCATTTGTTATTTTTACTAGAAATGGAAGGGACATGCCACACACCCCTTCCTTTTCAGAGAAACTTTAACCAGCACCCTGTCGTCCGTCCATCCTGTGTATTGGTGTCACACATACATCACAGCTGGGAGGGGTTATGAGGCTGCCCCAGTCATCTAACTGTTGGAGAGGATCTGACAAAGGGGAAAGGGAGGGAGCCACACGAGGCAGCAGTTTCAAGCCATGGAATGAAGGAAAGGCAGAGAGGAGCAGCACCAGAGGCCAGGAGAGAGTGGAAAGGGCCACAGCTTCTTTGTTTTTAAAAAATTCTATAATTTGGAAGAAGGTGGTAATTAATTTCCAAAATACACTTCCGAGTCCCACCTTCCACAGCTCCTTTACTCACAGCCCTTTGGTTTTCAGACAAATCTAAGAGCCCTCATAAAGCCATAAGTATCGATTACCCCTCAATGCACCTGAAAGCAACGTTCAGTCCCTTACACAGGCTATGTTCCATAGACTCCATCCCTATACACTTGTCTTACGGCTCAGTGGTAAGGTGGCTGTAGACACACATTACGGGGTAAGTGGCAACAGGAAACAGAGGGGAAGCCCAGGCACATGGGTGCAGGGAGGGGTAGGGAACACCACTTCCACTTTCCTTTGTCTTTTCCTTTAAAAAAAAAAAAAAAAAGGCGGTGTGATTGGCTGAAGGGCAGAGAACAAACCCCAGAATAGTATGTAAGCTCCAGACGTGACGGAGCAAACAATCCCCAGAGGTGAGAAGGGGGAAAGGTCAGGGCAATGCTTGCAGCATCAAGTTCCTCAGGAGTTTCTGTCGGCCAAGCTCATAGTCCTCCTCATCCACGTTCACCAGCAGCTTGATGGCTTCGTGGCCCACAGCTTGCTTGAGAGAGTCTGTGATGAAGACACCTTTCAGTGCTTCTAATAAGGAGCCATTGATGTAGTCGCGCCAGAATGCGTCGAGGTAGGTGAGCTCAGAGAACTTGATGTCACAGATGATGGAGCCCAGGTCCCGGGACTTGAGGATAGTGTTGGCCTGGTTAAAGCGCTCAAACTGGCGCTCAAGTGGGTCCTGCTTATTGGAGAAGACGTTGCCTTGCAGAGCAGTCTCATGCTGGCAGTATTCCGCCCGGACTCGAAGCCTGATGTCTGGGAGAATTTAAGGAGAATGGTTTATAGGAAGGACTGGGTTTACATCCAAAGCTAGAAAAGCAAGCAAGACCAGCAGAGCAGAAACCCTCCCCAAAGCCAGTTCTCTGAAGTGTCTCTGAAGTCCTGCCTCAGTGCTGGAGCTTCCCTACAGTGAATATGCTTGGGTCACTCACAAACAGCACCTTGTTTGTAACAGCTGTTTTCTTAAAAAGGTGCAGAAATGTATTTTAATTGTCTTGACTTGGTTCATCCTGTAATAAAGAAGTCATATTGGCATTCCTTTGACTTAACTAAAAAGAATTGTAATGTAACACTGCCAAAGGATAATCTCATAAAAACCACACCCGACCGGACAAAAGCAACCAAAGCCGCCTTGCACTGAACAACACACTGCCCATTATCCCAGGAGTTCTTTGTATTTTTCCTTTAGAATCCTTGAATTTCCTTACCACAGGTCTGCTTTTCCTTGGGATCTGGTGTCACCGACTTCCGGCGTTTTCGCTGGTTCCCAAGTGTGGCTCTCCCTCGGGCTGGTCGCTTACTACACATCTGAGAACCTGAAGTGGGGCAGCACACCACAGGATAGTGGGGAGGCACTGGCCAGAAAGGAAATGGAAAACACACGTTTTAAAAGCAGAACTTCAAATACTTCACTTGGAATAATGCAAAGGAATCATTTATACTTAATAATAAAAGCAGTATTGATGAATCTGATGGCTGAGGTGATCAAATGTCTGTCTAGTATAATGAAGATCTGGGCGTAACCCCAGCATGGGGGTGGGTACTAAGTGTGGCGGAAGAAATTTGTTATCCCAGCACTCAAGAGTGAAAGAAGGAAGCTGGGCAGCAATGCACACCTTTGATCACAGTGTTTGGGAGGCAGAGGCAGGCAGATCTCCGAGTTTGAGACCAGTCTGGTCTATACAGTGAGTTTCAGAACTCTGTCTCAAAACAGCAACAAGAAAAAAAGTGAAGGAAGATGAAGTCAAAGGCCAGCCTGGATTACACAGAGTTCTACATTACCTGGGCTAAATAGAAATCTCAAAAAAAAAAAAAAGTTGGGAGAAGGTCAGACAGTGGTGGCGCACCCTTTAATCCCAGCTCTTGGAAGGCAGAGGCACGTGGACCTCTGTTGAGTTCTAGGCCAGCCTGGTCTACAGAGTGAGTTCCCCAGGACTGTTACACAGAGAAACCCTGCCTCCCATAAATAAATAAACAAACAAACAAACAAACAAAAAGTTGGGAGAGATGGCTCAGTGGTTAAGAGCACTTGTAGCTTTTGGAGAGGACCCAGGCTCAGTTTCTAACACCTACAGTGGCTTATAATTATCTATAACTCCAGTTTGAAGGGATCTGACACCCTTCTTCAGCTCCACAGGATCCAGGCAGATGCTCATATACATAAAAATAAATTTAAAAAACACAAAACTGCCCTAGAGGCTGGAGAGAAGGTTAACAGGCATGCAGACAAAATAGTCATATGCATAAAATTGATTTTTTTTTTCAAAAAATGACTTAAAGAAAAATCTTAGTGAGAGCAAACATTAGACCTGGACAAAGCTTATCTCATCTGATTTGTGTGTGTACATGTTCACAGGATGTAGTCACATGGGCATGCCTGATTCGAAGGCCAAAGGTCAACAGTGGACATCTTCCTCAATTCTCTGCCCACTACTTTCTAGACACGGCCTTTCACTGAACCTCAAGTTAACGAATGTGCTAAGGCTGGTTGACGGGGAGCTCCAGGGATTTGCCTCTCTCTGCCTCTACAACAACTAAGGTTACAGCCACTCTTTGATTGCCCAGCTTTTCTATGTAGGTGCTGGGATGCTCAACTTGAGTCTTCATGCTTAGGCAACAAGCACGTTACAGACTGAGTATCACCCAGTCTCTGACTTTTTTAATGGGCAGATGAAGAGGACAATATCCTTTCATTATGTTGGCCCAGCCAGGCATGTGATGGGGTCAATATTCTTGCTTATGAAAATTACAAGTAAAAACTCACCTGTTTTAGAGGGCTGGGGAGGCCTCGGTTCTGGATCACTGAGGGCTCTGGGGGTCACATAGCGAATTGATGTTTCCTCCAGATACTTGTCTACAAGGTCAGGGCACACTGTAGGAGGAGAACGAGGCACTCAGAAAAAAATACACATCTACCTCCTCCCAAGGGTCTCACAGTTTATTCTCTGGGTGCTCCCTCGGTCAAGACCACCTCCCTTTTAGACTCCTATGCTACTAACTCCCACGAGCCCTCTCGTACTCAAGTGTTCCCAGACCCTGTAAGCCCTCACCAGCCCGTCTCTTCTTGAGAGTAACGTAGGGCAGCAAGTCATGGCGAGTGATGATGCGCAGCAGCTGCAGCACCTGGCGAAAGTTACTCTCATCACAGCGGCCCTGGCGCTCCAGTGCCAGTAAGAAGTCACGGCCATTTCGAATGAGTCCACGCTCATGGTCGTCAATAACATCAACGAAGAGAAAAGAAAGCACACGAACATCTCTATGCGTTAGGTGGGTGCCCACGATGTCAAACATACGGTGGAGGCTGTAGAGCCCATGTTCCTGCTCACCATGCTCTTCAGGCCACACCTGGCTTGCCCGCCGCTTCAGGCCCGCCATGCTAGAGGCTCAGGGACAGAGTGCCTTCCAGAACCCCTGCTCAGCAGCTGCAATCTCCAGTGTCCTGTAAGACAGGCCAAGAACCCATGAACCACACACTGGTAACAACTAATTTTATTTATCTGCATTGTCTCAGCATGCTACTAACAGTATACTGCTTAGTACATTTATTAAATATCATAAAGTGTTTACTAAAAATAAGTAAATAAACAAATAAACCCATCCTGGGTGTGGTGGTTCATGCCTTTCATCTCAGCATCCAGGAGGCAGACACAAGTAGACCACAGAATTCTTGGACAGTCAAAGCTACATAGAGACCCAATCTCAAAAAACAAACAAACAAATAAAAGCCATCCTAAGGCTCTTCATACTGAACAGATGACACCCTAAGTCCAGATCCTACGGAGGGATACAGTCACTTCCTTGAGAATTTTTGTGCGATTTTAGTATGGCATAGTTCAGAAGTTTCTACTGCAGCTAAGCATGAGAGTACACATCTGTACTTACAACACTCAGGAGCCAAAGGCAGGAGGACTGTCCTAAGTTTGAAGCCATTCTGGTCTGCACAGCAAGTTGCAATCCAGTCAGAGATACATAGGTAGACCACTTCTCAAACAAAACAAGCCAGTGTGATAAAGCATGCCTGTAATCCTAGCACTCAAACCAGAAGTTCAAAGCCATCCTCAACTATAGAGCAAGATCTAGGCCAGTATGGACTACAAGAAACTATCTCAAATTTTGTTTTTTTATTTCATGCTATCCAGATTGTTCAACTCTACAACACCTCTTGCATTCAAAACACTGCTTTTGGTCCCTTGAAAACAATGATCATGGAGTCACATGCCTATAACCAGCAGTGATGAGGGAGAGACACTAGGCTCTGATTCTACACTGACCTGGTCTATTTATTGAAAGCCCATCTTATACAAACAAAAAAAAATACAGTAAGAGTAACATCTGGACAGTGTACCCCTTTGATCCTAGAATTCACAAGGATCTCTGGGAGTTTGAGACCAAACTAATGGTCTACAGAGAGAGCCCCAGGCCACTATGTAAACCTGGCTGTCCTAAAACCATTGTAGACTAGGCTGGCCTCAAACTCAGAGATCTGTCTGCTTCTGTCTCCTGAGTGCTGGGATTAAAGGCACGCAATATCACACTTGGCCTCATTCATTCATTCATTTAATCTATTTTTCTCTTTCAAGATTGAATTTCTCTGTGTAGTCCTGGCTGTCCTGAAACGCACTCTGTAGACCAGGCCAGCCTTGAACTCACAGAGATCCACCTGTGTGCACCACCACCATCTGCCCCATTTCTTAAATATAGGCAAAACCGAAAAGTAGAGAATACAGTCTTTGATATAGACACTGAATCGGACACTAGCTAGAGCTAGTTTAAATTCTGACTGTGTCGTTACAAACTCTAGTTGTGTGACTTTGAGCATGTCCCTTAACCTCAAAGTCTCAGTGGCCAAAGTGAGTATAGTGGCACACGCCATAATCCCAGCACACAGAGCCTCACGCAACAGGAGGATGAATCCATTCTGGGCCACTGGTTTCAAAAACAGAATACAAGAACAAACAAAAAACTAACCCTTCCTCACAGATGGCATGTAACAAACCCCTGCGAAGGACCAATCACAGTCCTGTATTTCATTCACAAACTCACCCTGGGTAATATCATCAACCAATCATCTAGTTTTAACAGTTTTCACCTCCACTTTATAGTTTCTCATACTTACTGTCTTGAGAGAGAGTTCTACTGAGTATTGTTCTACCCTGACCAAGACCACCAACCACAGCCAGTTCTTAATTCCTACTATACAATGCAAAATATTTCTTTTTTTGTCTCTGCCTCCCCAGTGCTGGGATTAGAGGCATATGTTACCACCGACCGGCGGCAAAATATTTCTTAAGTGTGCTCTCCCTTTCATTGCTACTGCCATTGCCATGGTTCAGATTCCGATCATCGTGTGAACTATACTACTACAGCTGGCTCTATTTTAATTTGTATTCCATTTATTTATTTATTTTGTGTGTGTGTGTGTGGGCATACGGCCACAGTGCACGTGTGGAGGTCAGAGGACAACATTCAGGGGCCAGTTAGTTCTCTCTTTCTACCAAGTGAGTCCCAGAGATGGAAGACAGATTGTTAGACTTGGTAGCACATGCCTTAACCTGCTGAGCCATCTCACCAGCTTCTGTAACTGACTCTTTCAAGGAGTCTCTGTTCTCTAAATCTTTTTTTTTTTTTTTTGATACAAAGTCTCAACATGTAGCCCAGACTAGCCTTGAACTTGCTAAGTAACCTAGGTAGGCAATGGACTTTCTTTTTTGCCAGCCTCTGCCTCCCAAGTGCTGGGATTAAAGGTGTGCGCCACCATCGCCCGGCTGGCAATGGCCTTTTATTCGTCCTACCTGAGCCTTCTCAATGCTAAGATTACAGGCAGATTCTAACACCATCAATATTTGTGGGGGAAGTGCTGGTTTTTTTTGAGACAAGGTCTCTCTTTGTATCCCTGGCTGTCCTGGAACTCTATGTAGACCAGACTGACCTCCAACTTGAAGATCTACCTGCCTCTACCTTCTGAGTACTAGGATTAAAGAAAGGTATTTGCCACCACATCTAACCCACCACCATTAATCTTTCTTGGTGGGGGTGGGGAGGGGGTTCAAGACAGGGTTTCTCTGTGCAACAACCCTAACTGTTCTGGAACTTGATTTGTAAACCAGGTTGTCCTCAAACTCACAGAGATCCTCCAGCCTCTGCCTCCTGAGTGCTGAGGTTAAAGGTGTGCACCACCACTGCCAGGCTCATCTCTATAATCCTAACCCTAATAGCAGACATCTGTCGGAGCAGCCTGTTGTTGGGAACTGAACTGAATTTCCAAGAGGTCACAACACGAGCAACACCAACTGAACAACCAAACTCAAACTTATCAAAGTCCAAGACAGAGAGAGGACTCCACCAAAAAGACATGGAAACCAGGCATGGCTGTACGTGTGCACGCCTATAATCCCAGAATTAGGGGGGCTGAGGTGGATAACAAATTCAAGGCCAGGTTGAGTTATACAGTGGGACCTGACTCGGAATGGGGCGGGTGGGGGTGTGCACATGAGTACATTCCACATTTCAGTAACCAAGTACATAAATCCAGCTAGAGTTGTCTCCATACCATAAAAAACTACCCATAGCAAACCACCCTATTCAACAAGATGATGTTCCGACCATTTTATACACAAGGATACTGGCTACGCTACAAGACAGAAACCGAGAAGCTTCGGCTATCACTCAGTGGTAGAGTGATGCTCAGCCCTCATGAGGCCTTGGAGTCTATTCCTAGCACCAAAGAGAAAAGAAGAACAGAGTGCTAAGCTACTTCAGAAGGACCATCATGATAGCTGACAGAACCTTTCTCCCTCAGTGACCCAACAAGGAAAGTGCAGAGAGACTCCTTCCCTTTAAAAGAAAAAATAAGCCAGTTGATATATGCCTTTCATCCCAGCACTCCAGAGGGGCAGGCAGGCCAGCCTGGTCTACAAGGCAAGTTCCAGGACAGTCAGGCTACAAACAGAAACCCCATCTCAAAAAAGAAAACAAAACAAAACAAAGAAAAAAACAATAAATAAATTTTAAAAAGAAAAAGGAGAAATCCAAGAAAAAAAAAAAGGAAATATAAGCCACATGTAGTTTTGATAGGCCAGGTATCCCACCCACAGTATGGGAAACAGCTGAGGGAACCGTTATTCAACTACACACTGGCTTTCCCCATCTCTTCCTCTCCCGTTTCACCTGTTGTCACCGAGTACAAATGGGGCTGCTGAGGAAAAATAGCTTCTTACTCAAGTAGGCAGCAGGAGAAAACTGAGCTTCCTTAGAGTCCCTGCAACTTTTTCATGGTCCCTATCCCACCTGTTCCCTTGGCCAGCTGCTGATTATAAGCATCCCAAAGAAAACAGATGGGCAGGCTTCACGTCCAACCAATCAGAAGAGCAGGTTGTTCCTTGGTTCTCTAATTCAAAGTGTCCTGAAACCCTAAGCAATTAAGAAAAACCACCCCCACATACTCTGTCCCTGGAAAATGAGGCAAAATAAAGGAAAACACTGTAGTCCTAATTCCACAATCAATGTAATTCTACAATAGGTCTCGATCCTCTGGGATCAACACCCTTCTCTTGGGAGGGGGGAGGAAGGGGGACAGAATCACTTTTAAGTACTAGATCATCTAAGGTACTAGGATTCATCAGAGCAATTTGTCCAACCAGGGGACATCTGGCAATGAGACGGTTTTGATTGTCAAGCTTTGTGAAGAGCCTACTACCAGCATCCAATAATGCTAGGGCACCGCTACACATCCTACAGCGCAGGAGACAAGCACTATCAACAAAAGTTTATCTGGACGACATTAGGCGGCGGTGGTGCAAACCTTTAATCCCAGCACTCAGGAGGCAGAGGCAGGTGGATCTGTGAGTTTGAGGCCAGCCTGGTCTACAGAGTGAGTTCCAGGACAGGCTCCAAAACTATACAGAGAAACCTTGTCTTGAAAAACCAAAATAATAATAATCTGGATAAAAATGTCTATAGTACTAAGTTTGAGAAATTCTATTTTACATGAAAGATGATTAAAAAAGGATGCATGTCACTTTCCTTATTAGATCCAGAGACGCTATTAGGTCTCTTCAACCCAAAACAATTCTATCATATTCTACAGGAAAAGGAAGGCCAGTCAGACACAGCTCATTTAACTCCTAAATCCAACTATCACAAACGCGTTTCATTTCACCCCAGCAATGCCTCCTCTGTCGCCTGCTGTTGCCATTCAGGTGAACAGCAGGTGGTAGAGACATACTCCCTTCTGGTCCATCCCAGGAGGTCTACTTTGACCTAGTTATATCTGAAATTGTGTGGGACTAAGAAAATGCCAACTTCTTTAAGACCAACACAAATGATCCAGACTCTTCCTTGTTGGGCCACTGATCAGACTAACACTATGCAAGGAAGCAAAACACAGAAATAAGCATTTCCCAAGGCATGTCTTCCAGCATAATATCAAGACGCTGGCGTGCAGGCTGGTGGGCAGCTCTCCCCATTTAATTATCATCTAGGATTGTGAGTTAACTCAGCAACCCAGCCAAGGTGTCTAAGAATCTCACTTCAGGATGAAAAGAATGTTACCAACTTCCTCTTAATCCAAATTATATTCAGCTTTCAGTGGCAAGAGAACTCAGCTTAGACACAGAGCCCCTAGATGGAAGATAGCACCGCGGTCAGAACACACTCCTCCAAACAGATTTCTTAGAAAGAACGTTTGTGTTGGTTTCTAAGATACGGTAACTACTGAGACAGAAAGCAGCAGGCAGCCAAGCGCGGTAGCACACCTTTAATCCCAGCACCTGGGAGGCAGAGGCAGGTGGATCTCCGAGTTCAAAGCCGCCTGATCTACAATAGTGAGACTCTATAAAAACAAACAGATACACAACCATAAACAAGTATACTGATCCACTGAATGATCTTGCTTTATTTCAGATATTAACATGCAAAATTTTTTGGAATAGAGATTAAAACCTAGGGGCCTTGGGCATGAGTAGGTAAGCGCTCTCCCACTGAGCTACATACATCCTAGCACAGAATAATTCTAGATTCTGATGAACTGCTGAATTTCCGGAAGTCCCAGTTTGTCTTCCTTTAGGGAGGACTGAAATACCAAGAGCCTCTAAGAGGCTATGTGTACCTAGACAGTCTCTTCAAGACAGATTATTCTCTAGTCAAGCAGTCTAGACTCTCCCATCCAGAAATGACAACTCTAACTTTTTAAAGTGCTTTGATTATCAGAAACAATATGTGAAGAATATCTTAGGATGAAAATGTAGCTTCTTTCTAACAGGAATAACAGCTATATTTTCACAAGAGAAAAAAAATATTTGACTCTTTTGGAAGCCCTTACAAGACTAAGTCATGTGGAAGAACTTAAAAAAAAAGAAGTGACAATAGCCAGGTGTTGTGGCACACCCTTTGATCCCCACACTTGGGAGGCAGAGGCAGATGGATCTCTGTGAGATTGAGGCCAGCCTAGTCTACATAGCAAATTATGGGCCAGCCAGAACTACATAGTGAGACCCTATCTAAAAAAAAAGAATAGCTTGCCAGGCGGTGGTGGCGCATGCCTTTAATCCCAGCACTTGGGAGACGGAGGCAGAGGCAGGTGGATCTCTGTGAGTTCGAGACCAGCCTGGTCTACCATGAGTAGACACAAAGAAACCCTGTCTTGGAGGGGGTGGGGGGAGGACAGTGGCTTGAACCTTGAAGCAACTACTACATGAAAAAATCTTCAAGGCGGTTAGAGTACATGAAGCGCTTTCCTGCTGGTGGGACTAGGAAAACATAACCAGATATATCTGGAAGGCAGAATTACACAGTATGTTTTCAAAAAAAATCCCAAGAACTCTGAACAGCTGGGAGAGACAGTAAACTAGAAGAAAAGCCTTCCTGCTGAAGTGCCTCAGTCACCCTCCAAGAGAAATATTTCACAGCTAATGTACAAGAGCACAGCTTTCCATATGCTAAACACGTTTCACTCAGAGCTGACCAGAAAGCTAGACAATAGCAAACCAACACTAGGACCTTGTCCAAGACACCTAAGATCCATTTTTCTCTCCTCCTGTCTAACTCCAGTTACCTGAGGAGTAACTGTGAGAAACCTTAATGATCTCAGAAAAGTGAGTGAACCACAGTTTCCCTAGCATCTATCTACCTCACCCCAACGCTTGCCATACCCTTCCCAGTCCCTTCCACTGTTGGAAAACAACAAAAAGTTCCAGACTTACCTTTGCAAGAAATTTAATTTCCCAGGTCTCTTCCTAGCACAAGTTTCAAAGCCAGCAGAAAAACAAAAACAAAAACAAGTAAGGAGGGAAAGAGCAAAATTTCAAGCTTTATTTTGAAACTTCAAAGGTCCACCCACAGTTAGCCAAAAAAGTCATCGGAGCCTAAAGTCACCTCACTGAACAAACTACTCCAAGCTAAAGAAGAGAACTCAAACATAACAAAGTCCCCAAAGTCCCCTCTCTGATTGTCAATTCACAATGTAGTATCAACCCCAAGAATTTCCAGGCTCAATGGCTCATAGCAAGAAGAGCCCCAACTCAACCATCTCTGGGAAAAAAACCATTCCGCTGACACAGTCTCCCTTTTCTCCTCAGATCCTTAGTCCATCTATTTTCTTACAACATGGGCGCTTAGGAGGAACTGGAAGGGGAAAAGTTGCAGCCCAAGAAAGCACTTCCTTCGCTAGACTTCACTCAGCAGGCCAGAATCAATTTCGAACTTCACCTTTTCCTTTAGCACACAACAAGAACAAAATAGCCACTAAAGCAGCATCCAGTCACGCCTACGCTTCAGTAAGAACCAGGCCTCGAAATATGCATATGGACCCCCCCTTCCCTCCCAGCACCCGAAGAGCCAAAGGAGGGTCTGCAAAGGAAGGCATATTTAATTAGCCTGATTACCTAAATGCCAGGCTGCCTCTTCCATAGCCTCCTCAGGCTCCCAGCGCCTCCACCTTTATATATAAGGTTCCAATCACGATTCCCTCCCCATTCTTGTACGGCTAATTGCAAAAAAAAAAAAAAAACTAGAAGAGCGCTTTACTCATCTCCCTATTTGTAACCAGGAAAAACAAGGAAGCAGTAAGCAAGAGTCTGTTTTGGAAAGCAAATCCGGTTGAACCCTCATTCAACCCCAATTCTCCAAACCCACATGACCATTCCTTTCTGCCCTTCCCACCCTATTAAAAGCTAAGCGCCTGGCAATTAAAATTGGCTGCAACTGATACTGCCTAACTCTGCTGTCTTTCCACAGGGGAGAGGGAAACCCCCAAACCTCTCTCATCCGTGCAGCTCCACTGCCCTATCCCCCCTTCCTTCCAAACTTTCCTCCGGGTCTCTCACTTTCTACACCGCCTCGGCACATCTCCACTCTCCCCATTCCCCAAACCCTCCTTCTCTCCTTTTCCACCCGAATTCTCCCCAAGGCCCTTCCGCTTCCACTTCCAATTTTAACACTTTGAAAGCCTCCCTTCACGAAACGTCTCAAGTCAAATTCTTCCCCCCTTCTCCCACGTCCTCACAACAGCGCTCCCGGGAGTCCGGTCCCTCCTGCCACCGCATGCCACAAGCCCCCTGCCCCTTCGCACCCTCAGGCTCTCCCTCCGGCTCCTACCCCTCTCGAGGCGCTGGATCCCAGCCCCGCTCCCCACCTCGGCCTCTTTAATACCCCTGGCCTGGCCCGGCCTGGGCCCTTGTTTACGCCCCTCCCCATGCTCGCACTCGTGCGCCCCGACCCCTGCCCTCTCCCACAGTTGCCACCTCCCCTGCACGCCCCCCTCGGCCTCTCCCCTCCCCCACCTGGCAGTGTCCCGTCACCTCCCTCCCCGGAGGTTCTCCGGCTGGACGTCGCCACCGCCTCCCCCTTCACTTTCCTTCCCCCAAGCCCTCGGCGGCCCCGCCCGGCCCCGCCCCGTCCCACTCGACTCCCCCTCCCCACTCCGGCCGCCCCGCCGCCTCACTCTCGGCTCAGGTTCGGCGCCGCCATGTTGGATCCATCCGCGCGGCTCTCCCGGGCCTGTCTCCCGGCGCCGCATCCGGGCTCCAGCCGCTGCCGCCTCCGCCTCCGCCGCCGCCGCCGCCGCGGGCGTGGGGGAGGGGAGGGACGGGCGGGGGTGGCTGCATCCTGCACAGCGCCTCCCGGAACCTGGCCGGTTAGTGTCGGCTTCGAGACCATAACGAGGCATGAGCGGAGGAGCCATACTAGGTGAGGGCAGCCTGGCAGCGGCATTAAGCAGGGAATGGCTAGCTTCACGTAGGGAAGAGAGAATGGAGACGGGCAGCCATCTTGCTTTGGGGCAAGCTGGCAACGCAGGGTTTTCTTAGTGGCGGTTTCGGGGCGGTTCTAAGAAGCGGAGAGAGTAACGCGCTTGGCTGTGGACGACTTGGTGGCGCCAGAGCTGGCTGGTATCGGACTCCGAAGCCCATTGGGAGAGTTGGGCTGGCAGCCATGACACGTAAGGGCGGAATAGTACGGGAGCTGGACTGCCTGGTGAACTTGGGTGAAAGTTCAAGATCTGGCTTTAACCTTTGCTTTGAACTTCCTGTCACCCGGACGTTCTGAAACCCGGACCTTGCAGCGCTTCTCAGAGTTGCTCTCGGAATTCATCCCTTCAGTGTTTTCCTTTTGCGCTTTCACTTCCTGTCGAACGTCTCTCCTGAGCTGACTCGAGTAGGACTGTCGGGAATTGAATAGGGGGGCGCGGTGGGGTGGGGCTCACGTTTGTTCTGGAGCTGCCAACAGCCTAACGTGGCTAAAGGAAAAGGTAATGCATAAGGTCTACGAGATAGGGAGGGATCTGGTTTCGCGGCCTTGTAGATTTACTTTATCCTAAGGGCAATGAAAGGGCTTTGAAGGGTCTAAACAGAGGTGTGAGCAATTGTGTTTGTATTGTAGAAAGATCACTACTTGCCAACCTGGGCATGTTAGTGCCGGTCTGGAGCCTGAGGTAGGAGGATTGTTTGAGCTCTGAAGGTGGAGACCAGTTTGGGCTTCATCTAAGCGAGGAAGACCACTATAACGTTAGCTCAGTGAGAGAATGTGTTCTTAGCACAGTTCAGCCTAGTGTTCAGTCCCCAGGGAGCGGGCTGCGTAGAGAGAGATCACCGGTTGCCTTGTAAAGAATGTTTGGAAAAGTAGAGGAGAGAACAATTAGGAAGATAAGGAAGAGTCGGTGGTGGTGTGTAGGTAGGAAGGCATGCGTTGGATAAGGTGGTATGAATGTTCTGACTTGAAGAACTGGGTTATATTATTTTAACTCTAAGGGAGACCGTGTGGGTTGGAAACCAAGAAACTTTAAAGTGCGCTTCTGTGCATATGGATAGTTATTGGCGCTGTAAAAGAGGATAATGGCCTAGAGAAGAAGAAATATGTATTTGAGGGATTAGACGAGGGGAGGAAGCTGAGGACAGTAAGAAGGAGCAAACAGGAAGAAAGAAAGGTTTAAAGTGTTACATGTAACAGGTCAGGTAAGATGTGGATTAAAATGTGTCCTATGGATTGTGGAAGAAGAAAGGACACTAGGTACATTTGAAAAAAGCTGTTGTTAAGAACCGGACTGAAATGGAAAGATACTATGTACAAAACATTTTTGTGGCCAGGCATGGCAACTCAGACTTGTGATCCCAGCACTTAAAAAGCTGAAGGATATGATTTGAGCCAAAGCTGGACCTATGTAACAGACCAGCCATATGTTGCAAGATATTGGATCACACTGTGAACCCCAAGATTGAATTATGTTGCTTTTCCATATCAAATTGCATTACATTGTTTTTCTCATTCCTTCATCAAACATTTTTTCAAAGGTATCTACATCTGAATCAGCCAGTAAGACATCCATAGATTTTAGACTGAGGAAACTGTCTACAAATCCTTCCTGCCTGCCTGCCTGCTTTCCTTCTTTCTTTTCAAGATTTATTTGTTTTATACAGTGTTCTGCCGGAATGTATGCTCACACACCTGAAGAGGTCACCAGATCTCATTCTAGGTGGTTGTGAGTCACCATGTGCCTGCTGGGAATTGAACTCAAGACCTGGAAGAACAGCCAGTGCTCTTAACCTCTAAGCCATTGCTCCAGCTCCTATGAATTATTTCTAATAGCTATTGTACAAAATATTTACATAAGATGGAGCTGTTTAACATTCCTTGTGGAAGAATTTTCTAGTGGTACCTTTTAACAGGCTGGGATTTATTAAAAGTAGGCATTGTGAAGAGAAGTTTTTCTCTGTCCAGTTCTTGTAAAGGTATAGTTAAAAAGTAGCAAGCTTTCTTGTCAAACTATCTTTGGTCCTCCAGCCTGCAAATAATTACCCGGAGACTTATTACTAATTCTTAGCCTTAGCTTAGGTTTTTATCCAACTAACTCTTATAACTTAACCCATAATTTTTAATCTGCCTTCTACCACATGGCTCAGTTACCTCTTTTTGATATAGCACATCCAACTTGCTCTGAGTCTGGTGGTGAAATTGCTCACCTAGATTCCTCCTCCCAGTTTCTCTCTCTCTCTGCCTGGAAATCATACCTATTCTCTCCTGCCTAGCTATTGGCCATTTAGCTCTTTCTTAAACCAATCAGAAGGTGCCTTAGGCAGAGACACAATACACTTCAGCACACTATAATAGACCATCCCTTAGGTAATAAAGAAGGCAAGGAAATTCCAGGCTGCAGAGACCTCATTGGCTGAATTGCCTTATTTATAGCTCTCAGATCTGTTACCATTCTCCATTTTCCAGGTTTCTTTTTAATAACAAATACAGGAGAATTCCAAGAACTGATCAATTCTTCAATATGTTGAGTATTTAACTGCTGTTCTACCACCTGTTCTAGTGCTATAACCAACAAATTCATTACTATGTTAGCTGTCAGTAGACTTTTCTTTCCTGCCTGCCAGTTCCCAACTAACCAATTCAGAGACTCAATAAATATTTATAAATGCTTGACTGATAGCTCAGGCTTATTATTAACTAGCTCTTACAACTTAATCCAGCTTTTTTATTTATATTTATTTATTTATTATATTCTTTCTGTGTGTATGTCTGAAGGCCAGAAGAGGGCACCAGACCTCATTATAAGTGGCTGTGAGCCACCATGTGGTTGCTGGGAATTGAACTCGGGACCTTTGGAAGAGCAGGCAGTGCTCTTAATCGCTGAGCCATCTCTCCAGCCCTAATCCAGTTTTTTTAAATCTTAGTTTTACTACATGACTCATGGCCTGTTACCTCATTTTGTACACGTCCTGCTTCCTCTATGTCTGGCTGGTGACTCGAAATTCCACCCTTCTTCCCTACTTCCTTCTAGTCTGGCTTTCCCACCCAGTCTCTTCCTGCCCTGCAATAGGCCAGTGAGATCTTTATTAACCTATGAGAGTAATACATATTTACAGTGTACAAAGATTGTTCCACAGCAGTTAGCCACATACGGTTTTAATCTCCCTACCTGTCCTTCTGGCCCTGTACATTCAGTCCACCTTGTACTTTGTTTCATTCCCTAGAAGCTGAATATTTACCTCCTAAAGAGACCAATCTGGGTGCCAAGATTTGGGTGAAATGTTGTGGAATATTTTTTTACACTATGTGAGGATGTGTCACTGTGATTGGTTTAATAAATAGCTGAATGTCCAATAGCTAGACAGGAGAGTTAGGCATGGTTGGGGGGGCGGTGAAGAGAGAAAGACTAGGTGCAGAAATTATGCTGAGGAGATATCAGGAGACAGAGGAAACAAAGTGCAAGCAGAGAGGTAATGCCATATGATATAATGGGTTAATTTTCTTAAAAGAGCTAGTTGAGACAAACCTAACCTAAAAACCAAGATTTCATAATTAATAAGTGTCTGGGTACTGCAATGAGATTACTGTTATTTCTGCTCCTGTATCTACAAAACTTTCAATTTCAATGCCATTTATCTGTATTTTTAGCTTTGGTCTCTGACCATTTGTACCAGTTTGCCAAAATACTTGTTTGATCTCTTCTGACCCTTTATCTACTGATACTGTTCTATCCTTCATCACATTCAGAGCTGTGTTCTTTTTAATAACAGGTATTAAGTCTTTCAATCATTCTGTGGATGAGTTTCTCCAATGCTGACAGGGAATGATTGAACCAAATTTGGTTTTGAAACCTGCAGTAGGTCCCCTGAGTCATTTGCTGAAGGCATAGGGTTACTTTGCTTGTCCCTCATTGATCTGCATTCATTAGTCCAATGCTGGCTTTTGCCACATCTTCTGCATATTCCAGGAGGCTAGAATGTGTGGGTATAACATGAGTCATGTCACATGTTGGAGAGCCAATGTTGTTTTTAACAAAATCTCAATTGTTTGATTTTTACCAATAAAGATTCAGGTGCCAGATGCTGGGGTGAAAGCCTACTATCCCAGGAGAAGCAGAGAAAGCACCAGCTGACCTTCCTCCACAGCCGATGTCCCAGAAGCCTCACTTTGTCCGTCTCAAACATGAGTCCCCCAACTCCTTGTCCCTCTCTTCTGCTTCCTGTGCATCTCTCTACTCATCCTTCCGATTCCCTCTTACTCCCTATGGTTTTTCTTAATAATCTTATGTTCTCTTCCTGCCACCTAGTTGTTTGCTCCCCCTTTTGGTTGACTTTTCTTTTTAGTCCTGTTTACAAAATGCAAGCAGAAAGATCTTGAATTAAATGTGTGTGCTAGGGCTGAGCCACCACAACTAGAAACAGGTTTTTCAAGTAAATAATGCAGTCTCAGGTTTATGTTTTGATCAAATATCCCACAACAATATATAGCCCTGGCTGACCTTGAATTCACTGTTTGGACCAGGCTGGCTCATTGCCTGCCTTTAGCTGAGTGCTAGAAATAAAGGTCTATGATAGGCATGCCCAACTTAAAAGTATTTTTTAAGTTAATAATTTTTTATTTAAGGAATTTTACATGTGATTCCTTTGCTTTCCATCAGGATCACTCAAGTTTAGGATTCCTAGAAATAAACTAGGTGGTGGTGGCACACACCTTTAATCCCAGCACTCAGGAGGCAGGGGCAGGCGGATCTCTGTGAACTCCAACCATACTGATCTACATAGTGAGCCAGAGTTGTTACACAGAGAAATACTGTCTGCAGGGGTGGGGGGTGTTGGAATCTGAAAATAGCCCTTTCTCAAAGAAACGTGCTTAATCCAGTTGTCCTGTCCTATCATTTTATCTCTCC